TGCCCTAAAAAGATATTCTGCAACTGGGCTGCCCCAAAACCTCTGCTTAAAAGTCTGCCCTAAAAAGATACTTCTGCAACTGTAGAAAATTGCAAAAAAGAAACACACATGAGCTATGTAGTCTTTAGACTCACTGTGCTCAACAGGGTAAGACTCAGTAGCATAAATATGACCTAATTTCCCCCTCAGGGTAATGCTAAGACAGCTATACTGTTCAAGAGGCCAAATGATTTTTATAATTATTATTTTATTTAAAAAGATATAAAGATTTACAAAATAAAGTCAGTTTAATGCATAAGCAAGCATATTACCATTTTCAAGGTTTGTTACAAAATATAAATGAAGCAACAATTCTCTTTAAATACAAAAACACTAAAAATCACAAAAAAGCTCTACCAGAGTGGGCAAGAGACTTAAAGCCCCCCCTTACTCCCTAGTCTCCCTACATCTCTATCAGTCCTTTTACCTGCACTGCGCAGCAGGCAAAAAGACCTAGAAAAACAATAATGAAAAAGTAGTCCAAAAAGGTCAAGGAAAGATGGAATGAATGAAAGAATATTGTCCATAGTAAAAGTTCCTTTTTCAAGCTTCGCTGGAACCCCCCTTCTCCTCTGTCTCTCACGTTGTCATCCAATCAAGGCACGAGGTCAGGTAAACAGTCCCTCCTTATCTTCTTTCTTCTCTTCTTCGTTCTCTTCTCATGGGAAACAGGTGTTGTTTTCCTTAGCACATCTGCAGCTCCGCCATAACAAATGCCTAGTCTTCTTATCTAGGAATGTCCTCTTCAGGCTTACAAGAAAACATTCCCACAACCCTCCGGAAAATACACTGTCAGCATGCAGAATCATTTACACAGATAACCAAAATGGAATCCTTTTTACATTGTTCACAACTACATATCCCATCCTCAGTACAAGATTTAATCCACCTAAATCAATCCATGACACCCTCCACTTGCACTTCATATTTGTCTGGAGGTTTATAATGTGTCGTATGACAAAAGACTGACCTAAAATAGGAATTGAGCACCTCTGCCTTTTCTTTGTCATCTATCATCATTTTTCTATCTCCATTGAGTCACTGAGCCACTGTTTCTTTTCTTTGTCTTTTGCTTTGCACATACCTGAATAATGCTTTTTTGATTGCTTTTAGTGCCTCTAGCTCATCTCAGCTCATCCTCAGCTTTTGCTGTCCAAATGCCATCCCTTCATTTCCTTGCTACTTCTCTCTACTCTTCCTTGGTGACCTGGCCTTTCCACCTCCTATAGATGTCTTTTTTGTTTTGTTTGTTTTCAAGTCCTCCCTGAGCTTTTTGTTAAGCCACAGTGGCCTTTTTTGCTGCCTCCCACCTTTTTTTCCTGGTTGGATTTGTTCGTAGTTGTGGTTTTAGAATTTCTTTCTTCTTTTTTTTTTAAGAAACTCCCACCATTCTTGGACTCCTTTTCTTGTTAGGATCTCCTGCCATGGGAGGAGGTACTGTTTCTGAGAGTATTAAAACTGGCTTTTTAAAAATCCACCATATGTATGTGGCTACACTCTGGTTTGGTTTCCTATGAAACCAAGAATTCCAGTAGAACATGGGTCATTCTCATTCAGAGTTCCCCTTACTGCCACTTCCGCCAGCAAGTCATCTCTGTTGGTTAGAATCAGGTCAAGGATAGCTAGTCCTCTAGTTTCTTTTTCCACTTTTTGTAGGAGAAAATTATCAGCCACACAAGCAAGGAATTTCTTGAAAGGACAATACTTGGCAGAATTTGCCTCCCAGAATATATCCAGCTAATTACAATTTCCCGTCACTACTACACCATGTCTCTTCAAAATTCTTGCAATTTGTTTTTCAAAAGTTTCATCTGCTTCTTGATGGGGAGGCTGGTAGTAGGTTCCAACTACCATGTTCATCTCAGATGTCAAGGAATATCAGCAGGATTCTCTTAGCAATTTTTGTTTCCACCACTTGTCAACTTGTCCAATAGTGAGAGAAAAATTATAACATCCAAACTGGTTAATTTTGCCTTTGCTCCCAAGGAATGAAGCTGCATGTTGAATATTGTGACCTAATTTGACTCATTGCACAAAGTGGGAGTGAAAACTTTCTTTATATTAATTAGTTGGCTACATCCCTTTCAATTATCCCTGTATTCATTGTATTGTTACTCTTTTAAACAGCAGCAACAGTAATGTGTATGTGTTCTGTAGTTCTAAACCTTCTGCTTTATTTTCTTCCTACTGCCTTGGACTTTCTTCAGTTCAACAAATACTTGATCAAAACTCAGCTTCAACAGCCATATGCATGTGCTGAAATTACTGCTTGGTCATTCTCCTAGCATGGCTTTCCCCCCCTTGCACCTAGATTTTAATTTTTTCTCAGTGCAGAAGTGCTCTAGAAGTTTACTTATGCCACCTTCCTGGAGACGGAATGATAAGGGGTGAGTCTTCCAGGAATTATCCCCTATGCTTTCACAAATCTGTGTTAGTTTAGACCAATATGGGATAACGGCAAGGAGAAAATCCCTCCTTCCCAGGCTCTTTTGCCTTCTTCTCAAAAATGTGTTTGAGCATTTTGACACAGTAAGGTTTCTTTCAATGCAGTAAATACTAGCACCTTGCTATTTCAAACCTACACCCAAACAATCTATTTCTCTCTTCCTCATTGGCCCTTGCACAGTAAGTTAAAAAACAAATGATAACAGCCACTTAAGATTGCAACATCAAGGACCTGCAAATTGCAGATCTGGTATTGTAAGCAACTCTTCCAAGGTCCTTATGCATCCAGGTACAGTGGTGCCTCACATAGCGATCGCTCCGTTTAGCAACGAAATCGCTTTGCGACACATTTTTTGCGATCGCAAAAGTGATTGCTTTGCAATGTTCCCTATGGGGGGAATTTCGCTTTGCGATGACTGATCATCACAAAGCGACCATTTTCGGCCAGCTGATCGGCAGTTTCAAGATGGCCGCCGGGGAAAAAACATGGCCGCCCGCTGTTTTCTGAGACGGATTCCTCGCTTAAGAGGCACCAGAAATGGCTGTGCTATAGAACATCTTCGCTGAACGGTGAGTTTTAAGCCCATAGGAACGCATTAATCGCATTTTAATGCGTTTCTATGGGCTTTTTTATTTCGCATTGCGATGTTTTCGTTCTGCAGCGATTTTTGTGGAACGAATTAATGTCGCAATGCGAGGCACCACTGTACCTTGGAAGAGTTGCCAGAAATTCTTCTGAAGAGTTGCAGCAGCAAAAGAATTGAGTTCAAATGTTCCGAACATCCCATTTTCCAGGCAGTTAACATTTCCTGTCCTGTATGGGAACCAGGCCTGTATCTGAGCCATCTTCTTGCCCCTTCTTTTGGCTTGTTCCCCTTTTTGGAGCCCCCTTTTTCTGACACATAGGGGTGTTCAGGATAGGATCTGAGTTAACACCTTCTTCTGTGGACATCCTGGGATTGGCCATCTTGCCAAGGCTACACAGGTTGCCTCTTCTCTTGGAAAGCACAGTGTAACAAGATAACCTGGCATCTGGATTTTCATTTGAGACTACAGAAAAACATAAAAATTCATTATGTAAAAGTACGTTTATGAAAGTAAAACAAACTCCAATTTTCCTTTTTCTTCTTCTTTCCAGTCTTAATTTCTGGTCTACTCTCCTGATTTTCAACCATTTTTGCACTGTGGCTCAGCACAGCTCAATAATTAAAGTTGAAGAGGCCATGTGAAGACAATAATTGCAGTAGATCTGTTTTATAGATAAATATACAGATATATAAAATCAGGCTGTTTTAGCTGAAGGCTAGAAATGAACAGTACCACAAAAATGATAACATTTAAAAAAAACTTTTTGCAGTTAGACTTCAACTTAGAATGAGCAATAAAAGTTTCATTTTTAACATGTTAAAGCATTGTACATAATATGCTTAGCAATGGGAATTCAGTTTGCTGAAACTTAAAATGTGCAGTTGTACATGAAAAAATATACTGTTGATGGAATATAAATATTAACGGAATTGATTTGAACTTGCAGCTTTTTCAGAATCTTGCTGTGTTTGTACAATTTTCTGTAAGCTCCTTGTAAGATAAGTAAGCTAATAAACAAATGTAGCCAAAGTAGTTTTAAGCATATAATTGAGAATAATCAATTTTCTTGCTGAATGGAAGTTATGTTGTGCTTGTATATTTTCATAAGCAGACTGTTAAGTCATGGAATCAATTGCACTAAAATACTGGGTAATATTTGTGAGTGAGAGAGAGAGAGAGGGGTGTTTTACAGTATAGCGTAACTAAAGAAATTACGCATATTTGTTCCTTATGAACAATTAATGACAGGCAGTGTTATGTAACACCACTTACATAGGTATTAGGAAGTTGTTGGTTTCCATACTTGGGTGGGGAGTGTTTGGGAATTTTATGTGTGTGCATGTGTCTGGTCTCTGGGTGTCTGTGAATTATTATTATTAAATCAAACTACGCAAACATATTAAAACAACTTCTGCTGTTCAGACATAATCTCCTTGTCTTCTTTATTGTCATCATCAGTATTGAAGGTCTGCAAGCCCTATTGACATGCAATGTAAAAGACCTTAAAGCAACCACTCAACATGAAGATTGCTGTTTGGCTTCCTGGGGATGGAGGGGTTGGTGGAATTTGTGCAGCTGGAAAATCTTCTTTTAAGAACCATGCTGGGGGTGTCAAATCAAGGGGGACACAAAGGGAGGAATTCAGTGAAATGTTATTGTCACAGAATAGTCACTGCATTAGATTCTGATCTAAATTGCTAATTATGTCTAATGTCTATTAAATATTAACAGAAGTACTTCATATTGGACATATTGTAATGGTCACTTAAAATGTTCAGACATATTACATTAGTAATTATTGCATATATATTGGAGTCAAATGAATGTGTAGTGTATGCTGTATATAGTATAATATAGATATGTCTGAAAGAGAGAAGGTTTAATTTTCAAAGTAAAATGGCATAACTTGAATATTTCTTCCTTTTCAGATATATTGATGAAAAAAGATCACATGGAATAAAAGAATTGGCAAGGAGATACTACGTCAATTACTATTCACAAAAGAAAAATTGTGGGAATATCTTCCATCCTCTGCATCACCGGGCATTTAAAGCCAAATTTCTGAGTTTTATTTCCTGCTCAATAAATAGATATTGGGATCTGCAATTATTTGCAAGTGATTCACCAGCACAGTCTACAACAAACAAACCAATATGGCCTGGGTGCGGTTGGCTTTCTGGGTTGGCCATTTGATGCTAGGATTGCTCATAAATCCATTAAGTGCATCTTCCCTACAGAGTAACGAATGCCCACAGTTATGTGTCTGTGAGATAAGGCCATGGTTTACACCTCAGTCAACCTATAGAGAAGCTACAACGGTTGACTGTAATGATCTGCGTTTAACAAAAATCCCAAGTAATCTTTCCAGTGATACTCAAGTTCTTCTCTTACAAAGCAACAACATTGCCAGGACAACTGACGAACTCCAACAGCTTTTCAATTTAACGGAGCTGGATTTTTCACAAAATAATTTTACAAGTATAAAAGATGTGGGGCTGTCAAATCTTACTCAACTCACTACTTTACACCTAGAGGAGAATCAGATCACAGAGATGACAGATTACTGTCTACAGGATTTGTGCAATCTTCAGGAACTTTACATAAACCATAACCAAATCAGTACTATTTCTGCAAATGCATTCTCAGGCCTGAAGAATCTTTTAAGACTCCATCTCAATTCCAACAAACTAAAAGTTATTGATAGTCGTTGGTTTGATTCTACGCCCAACTTGGAAATTTTGATGATTGGGGAAAATCCTGTGATTGGAATATTAGATATGAACTTTAAGCCACTCTTAAATTTAAGAAGTCTGGTGTTGGCTGGGATGTATCTGACTGACATTCCTGGAAATGCTCTGGTAGGCTTGGATAGTCTTGAAAGTCTCTCATTTTATGATAACAGGTTGGTTAAAGTTCCTCAGCTGGCACTTGAGAAAGTTCAAAATTTGAAATTCTTGGATCTTAACAAAAACCCAATCCATAAAATTCAGGAAGGAGACTTCAAGAACATGCTTCGGCTGAAAGAGCTGGGAATCAACAATATGGGAGAACTTGTCTCTGTTGACAGGTATGCTCTTGACAATCTTCCTGAACTTACCAAGCTTGAAGCAACAAACAACCCAAAGTTGTCTTACATTCATCGTTTAGCATTTCGGAATGTTCCTGCTCTGGAAAGCCTGATGCTTAACAACAATGCCTTGAATGCAGTCTACCAAAAAACAGTGGAATCCCTTCCAAATTTGCGTGAAATTAGCATTCACAGTAACCCCCTCAGGTGTGATTGTGTCATCCACTGGATAAACTCTAACAAGACCAATATCCGTTTCATGGAGCCCCTCTCAATGTTCTGTGCTATGCCACCAGAATATAGAGGACAGCAAGTAAAGGAGGTATTAATACAAGATTCTAATGAGCAATGTCTTCCAATGATTTCTCATGACACATTTCCAAATCATTTGAATCTGGACATTGGCATGACGGTTTTCTTGGATTGTCGAGCTATGGCAGAGCCAGAACCTGAGATCTATTGGGTAACTCCCCTTGGGAATAAAATAACGACTGAAACGCTTTCGGACAAATACAAACTTAGTAATGAAGGGACTCTGGAAATATCAAACATTCAGACTGAAGATTCAGGAAGGTACACGTGTGTAGCCCAAAACATAGAAGGTGCTGATACAAGAGTAGCTACGATAAGAGTGAATGGAACACTTCTGGATGGTACTCAGGTGCTGAAAATATATGTCAAACAAGCAGAATCTCATTCAATCCTGGTTTCTTGGAAGGTCAATTCTAATGTTATGACTTCCAATTTGAAGTGGTCATCAGCAACCATGAAGATTGACAACCCTCACATTACCTATACTGCTAGGGTTCCTGTTGATGTGCATGAATACAACCTCACACACTTGCAACCCTCCACAGATTATGAAGTCTGTCTCACCGTCTCTAATATCCATCAGCAAACTCAGAAGTCCTGTGTTAATGTTACCACAAAAAATGCAGCCTTTGCCCTTGATATTACTGACCAAGAGACGAGCACAGCCCTGGCTGCTGTCATGGGATCCATGTTTGCGGTTATTAGTCTTGCCTCTGTTTCTGTCTATGTTGCCAAGAGGTTTAAGAGAAAAAACTACCACCATTCCTTGAAAAAGTATATGCAAAAAACGTCCTCTATTCCCCTGAATGAACTGTACCCTCCACTTATTAATCTCTGGGAAGGTGACAGTGAAAAAGACAAAGAGGGCTCTGCAGAAACCAAGCCAACTCAAGTGGACACATCCAGAAGCTATTATATGTGGTAACTCAGATGATATTTCGCTTCTGGTAGTAAGGAGCACAAAAGACTTTTTTGCTTTATTCTGCAAAAGTGACAAGTTGAAGACTTTTGTATTTTTTGACTTTGCTAGTTTTGTGGCAGAGTGGTTGAGGACAGGTGGATATTTCAAGGTTTTTTTAGTATAGCGTATCGCAATTGGTTTGACACACACAAATGGCAGCTTCACCTAGCTTCCAGTTCTTCTTGTTCTTTTTTTTTTTTTAAGTTGTGCTTAATTTAACAGTGCTGTTCTAATTACGAAAAAGTAATAACGAAAGGCTGGGATTGCCCTTTGGTTTACAAGTCGCATGACCCCTTTCTTCTGAAACCATCAATCAATCTAACTTTACCAACTTGAGAATGCATTAAACCAGCTTTGTCACAATCTGGTCAAAGGACTCTTTAACTTGAGATAAGATGACAAGGTTTTGAACAATGTTAGTTGGCTGCACTGTAATGTTGTATCAACTGATTTGAATGTTTTCGACTATGAACAATTGATTTTTTGTTTATTTTATAATAGTTGAAGAAACTTAGGGAAAGCTAACAAAGCAATTAAAGTAGGTACCCTTTTTCAATGTAACAAGCTAAATGTCAATTGTTCTTTTATTATATTTAGTAGAAACTTTTAAAGGAAACTTAGATCTCTCCCCCACCCCATAATCCACCAACACCTGGCATAGAATGAGGACAGAAGTATAATAAATTATAGTTTTGGTTCTGTTTGGTTTTTTTTTAGAAGAGTTGCAATAATGTATCTTATTAGTTGCATCACCAGCTTTAATGGGTGATTATGTTTTGACATAAAATATATACAGTCTTATATAAAATCTTGGGTCTGTGTGTCAAATTAGATTTCATTTTCTCCATATAAATCTTTCTCTCTGATAAAATGTGAGTTATATTCACACCAGATGTAAAAAATAAGTAACCCATTTATGTGGGTTCATTAGAAATGGGTGTGTAGAAGAAATAAGGATAAAGCATTCAAATGCACAAACATCTGATATTTTCAATTTATAGCTACAAGCTTTGCTTTTCTGTAACATGTGAATTACACTACTTATGGAACAAATGCCAGCTGTCAGTCAGATAAGGGGGGAATGCCAAGTTAGCAGATCCTAAATACACATGCTAAGGAGTAAACTCAAAGGACTTAATTCTGAATAAATCAGTTTAGAACTTTGCTGCACAGCAGATGCAACACTTATATATTTATATATGGACCAGAATAAATAGTAATTATTTCTGCTCCTATACACTGGTTGCGCAAATTGTATTTTTTAAAAGGAAATTAATTTATGCATATAAGTATGTATATTGAAGAAAAAACGTAGTTAGAACCTTGTGAACTACCTTCCCAGAGGAAGTTGTTCCGGAGGCCGGTAAGAAAGCATACATTATTGAACTGATAGGAGATTTTGGGATTTTTAGCATATAGAATTGAAAGATGAATTATTCCTGTACTCCCCACTACAGTCATGTGATGCAGGGGCATAACATCATGAAAACTGGGCCCTTTGCAGAGTTTCACTAGTACAGTATATCTAAGGGAGGAAAGGTGTTTAGTAAGGACCTATTGGTTTATAATGGAGCAGATTGTAATGCCAATTCAGCAATGAAAGTGCATTTTTCTCCTGAAATCGCTTAACTTGTGATAACACCTTGGTTTTCAATCTGCAGAATGTGCAGAATTTCCAGGTGTGTGTGTATGTGTAAGATTATGAGGTTTTCATAAAGCAACTAATATTTTATCAGTATAAAACAAATTTGTGTGATAGATGTTAGTAGAATTTAGGATTCCTCAAGAAAAACTGCTCTTTTATTTTTAATGTGAATTTGAATTAAACTTTTTTGTTAAAAGGGCATGAGGAGTGGTAGAAATCAGAAGGAAGTATGATGCCAAGAAATTTGAAAGCCACTGCAGTAAATCAAACCCACTTTGTGAAATTTAAGCTTTGGCTGTAAAACAGGCTTAACAATGGTTGTGAGTTAAAACACATTTAATGATTACTATGCATATGAAAGTACTATGCATAAGTATCGGGAAACTGAGTTATGGCAACTGGAATTCTTTCTTGTTAAGTTGAAATATTTCAATACTCATCAAAAGGATGTCCTTTGTCTGGTGTATCTCAGTTGGTAATTTGTTCCAGAGACTGGGAACACCATCAAAAGGCCTGATTAATTGTTTTGTTTTGGTTTTTTGAAAATTTTTAAATTTTATTTCAACTACAAACACATATCTAAAATACAATATAGACACCCCAAACCCTCCCCCCCCTTTGAGGATAGAGATTCAGACCTCATTACATTCCAACTTTCCCAAACTCCAGAGAGCATTGAAAGTGAAAGAAGAAGA